CTCCATGGAAGAGACCATCCAGGCATACCCAGTAACGGCTCCCAGCCAGGCTCGAGCATCTTGGTCTATCAGCTTTGGACCTAGGTGTGGCATGTCTGAAGGTTAGGGAATTTCTTTCCAGACTTTCTCTGGGCCCCTTCACCAAGATACGTTGGCTAGACCCCAGAACACAGAGGCTGGGAAGAGGGAAGCTGGAGAAATCCAGCCTCGGGCACCGTAGGGTCAGAAGGTCCTTCTCTCCATGGAGGAACGCTTCCTCAACGCCGTCGCCTCCAGGCCTCAGCTTTTCTCGCACACCTGTACAGTGGGAACCGTTCCACCTGGCAGCCACTCTGGCCTGGAGGGCCTGGGCAGCCAGCTGCTTCCTCCTTCCCCAATCACACTGTGGGCCCAGGAGGAAGGCCAGCAGAGAGAGGTGCATGCAGAGATGGGGGAGGATGCTCGGGACCGAGGGGTGAGAGAGCCCTCCCAGCGAGCCCTCCGAGGACGCTGCACAGTCCCCCTCCTGCTTCCCACGGTGTGCTCTGAGGCTCTCTCTTGGTATTTGTCCCATCCAGAGTCCGAGTGCCGGGGGGACCCTGTCCGGGACTTTCACCGGGTCCAGAGGGGCTATGCCATCTGCCAGACCACGCGCCCGCTGTCGTGGGTGGAGTGCCGGGGCGCGTGCCCGGGCCAAGGCTGCTGCCAGGGCCTGCGGCTGAAGCGGAGGAAGCTCACGTTCCAGTGCAGCGACGGGACTTCATTTGCTGAGGAGGTGGAGAAGCCCACGAAGTGCGGCTGTGCCCAGTGTGCATAATGCGCAGGGGGTGCGCTAGCAGCTGTACTGAGGTGCGGGCATCACCAGGATGGTCCTGGAGGGTGTGGGGACACTGAGCTGCCTTTCCAGTGGACTGCACTGCCGGGGTAGAGGAGCAAGCAAGGCCTGGACTGCCGCGCCCTCTCCCAAAGTGCCTTGCACAGATAGGCGCTTAATAAATACTTGTTGAATGAATGTGTGTGTGAGGTCAGGCCACGAACGGTGGCAGAATGGTGGCACTCCTCTGCCTGCTACCTGGGACAGAAAAAGGAGGCTTAACCCTGTCTCGACTGCTTCTCCCTTGGCCTGTGACCCTGACTGGCCTGAAAGAGTTAATGTCCCAGTAGCCTCTGGCCCTTTGGAGGACAACCACCTGCCGGGGTACTGGCCTGGAGTCTGCTGCCACATCTACCAGCAGCAGGCCACACTCCAAAAGACCTCCTGCCATGGGGAAGGAACTGACCCTTTTTTCCTTGAGTCACGTGGCCCATTGCCTCCACAGCTTGGGAAGGGGTTGGGGTGGGGTGGGGTTTGTGTAGGACCAGGCCTCTGAATCCTGAAATACAGGATGACCATGGAAGCTTCTGTGAGGGGGTTCTTACGCTTGGGGTGGCAGACCCTACCAAAGAGGGCCTGGGGTTCTTGGCTCCAGCTGAATAGACACTACTGGTTACAAAAGGGGGGCGTCGGGCCCCGGTTCCCCTAGCCAAAAGCTGCTGGTGCCTCTGGCAGAGGAGGCAGAGGTTGTGAGGAGCAGCTGAGTGAGGCCAGGAACTCCTCAACTGGAGGCCTGGCTTGGAGCCTTGTACTGAGACCATATGGAGCAGGAGGAGGTCAGATGACCGGACACTAAGGAGTCTCTGCCCTGTGGCTCTGGGCAGACTTCTGTCCATTTCAGGCCTCAGGTCTGCAGCAGCAGGGAGGTAGATAGGAACCATGTAGACACTGCCTCTCTGGTCTCCGGAGCTTAGAGGCCTGAGGAGTTAGAAGATTCATTTCCATTAACTTCATTAGCAGGTTTTTATGTCCCCAAGCTGGAGTGGTTTTCGTGGGTGTGCAGCCTTGATGGGAACTAATTCCTAAGCACCACCGAGTGCCCAGAGCGGCCCAGGCTGCAGCTCCTCACTCTAGGAGTTTGCAGAGAAGGCGGTTGGAAGCCACCAGATACACGGCAGCATGACACACAGGCTTCTCTTCCGTGGAGAGTGAGCTGTGGAAAGTGAGCCTCACAGGGAGCGGCTGAAGGGAGGAAGGGTCCTATGTTCTCACTTCCCCGAGAGGGGGCAGCCCTGGCCGGTGTGGGGGCAGCCCTGGCCTGTGTGGGGGAGTGTGTTTCTTTTTGGGCCAGAGGTGTGAGCATGTCCCTCTCTTGGCGGCTTGCATCTAGCAGTGCAGGTACAGAGCAGGGGAAGCCTTACACCTGAGCCCCCACCCACCCATATGGACGCTACATGGAGCCGTCAGTGCTGGTGAGAACACAGGCCTCCTGCGACTTTAGAACTTAGCACCTCCTATCGTAATGGCTCTCAGACTAGTGAGACTGGGATGGAAAGAGAGCCCTGCCTTGACCAACTGGTCCATGTCCTCATGACTGGGTACACCCTTTGCTGGGGAGGTGGGGGCGGACCGGGCTCCATTTTCTTAAGCCCCGAGCAGGGCCGCCGTGCACAGAACTGCTCCTCCCCAAGAGGGCAGCGGCCCAGGCTTCTAGGGGTTTTACCCAACTCTGCCCGGTGTCTTTCTCTTACTCCAAGCGTCCAGGCCACCGTGGGATCCTGGCAAGCAGCTCCACCAGGTTGCATAGGGAAGAAGAGTTTAGGCATTTGGCATCATGCTCCTTTCTAGAAACAGAGGCTCTGGCCTTCTCCGCCCTGTGGAAGCTACCATCTCCAGCCACCCTCACTGGAAAAGCTGATTCCTGGGCTTGAGAGGCATGGGCCGCAGGTTTGCTCACACTGCTGCAGGGGAAGCGCCCTGTGGTCAGGTGATGCGGCCTCCCCCAGGGCCTTGGGGTGAGAAGTGAGAGGCTGGGGCAATGGTTCCGAGATCCCTGTGAACATTAAAGGCCCTTCCACACCCCTGCACTCCCCCAGTCTTCTATTGAGTCTGAGGATCAAGACTCACTGCAAAGTGAGGGCACCAAGGGCAAGAGAGCCATGAACCCCAGGCTCAACCTTTACCTTTGACTCAGTCACTTCATTGCAAGCCAAGGGCCTGGTCTATCACCCCATCCCGTTCACAACTGGGCTTTCAAGGTCGGGTAAGAAGGCAACTTTGAGAAATCATCTCCACGCTGTGTTCCCTTTGGTAAAGACCTTCAGTTTGCTTTGTGGTCACTGGCTATTTCCATTAGATGTGCACACAAGAGGCCCAGCAGGGCGAGCCCTCCGGGAGCTGGTATGTGGGCAGCCTTGCTCAGGGCCCTGGGATGATGTTAAGAAATGGAAAAGACCAGCTTTGTTTCCTTTGCCCGCTGTTAGCCTAACCATGAAAGTATTTCTTTATACAGAATACTTACAGATTCTAATATATATTTGTATTTCATTTTGTTATAGTATTTTTATATGTTAAAGTCAACCTCCAGTGTCTTTTGATTTTCAGATGCTATGTGGTTGTGACCTTTTGTTTGGGGTTTCTGTAGTCTTGTTTTGGGTCAACTCTTAGAAACTGGCTTAAAACAGTCCCCGAGGGAGCTGCACCTGCCCTTTCCCCAGAAGTATTGTTTAGAATATGTCAGTATTGTCCATTGTCTTCCATGTGAACATGACATTGATTCACTGATTTTCTGCCTGCCTGGTCTCTTTCTTCACCAAAATGAGTCTGCAGCTACTAGCATCCACCCTCCCAGGGCAGCAAGGCCCGGCAGCAAGGCCCTGGGCTGCCACACTGGCCAATCATCACGGGCAGGCTGTTTGCTAATAATGACGTGGCAAGGTCTGTTCATCCTGGAGGAAGGGGTGTGTGACAGTCTGGGGAGCCTGCTTACCCTCATCTGCTGCCAAGTGTTCACAGTGACACTAATGTTTTAAGCATTTGTCTAGAGTCACTCACACATTTAACCAGATTCTGAGGGGCGTGGAGCATCCAGGCAACAGATTAGAAAGCAGCACGTATTCTCAGACATCCTAGAAGGCCAGTGAAGGAGGAGGAAACATACATCAGACCAGAAACCCTTCACTCAGGAGATGAGTAAGAATCTGAGTGTCTGGGAGGTTGTCCTCCAGATCGGTCCCCAAAGCTAAAAGGACCTGCCAAGCCCTCTATTGATGCAGGGCCATGAACTAACTGATCTCACGCTAAGAATGCGGTGATGTTACAACCCCCACTCTAAGAGCACGTGACCATCTTGAAAGGGCACAGGGATGATAACTCTGGTGCCTTCATAATAGTTAGGGATTTGGAGAGGGCACATTATAGAGCAGGGCAGAGGAGGGAAAGTGAAACCAAGGAGGTTTAGACTGCAGTGTCTGGGAAGGATGTAAGGCAAGTGCTCCATGGCCTATCGTTCCTACGGCCAGTTCTGATTAAAGTGGGGTGCCAACGGGCACACGGAGACTCTCGCTGCTAGAGACTGTGGCACCTGAAGGGCATTTTCCAGTCTATCTGTACCAGCTGGTTCTCATCATGAGCTAAATTTGTTAGGTTAAAACAAAACAATACCCCCCAAACAAAACAGAACAAACCTCACAAGACAAAACTAGAAACTCCAATATTTGAAATGAAACACTTAGTTTTTAAACTTCTTTTTTTTTTTTTTTAAAAAAATCCTGGGCTAAATAAACACATCTGTGGGTTGAAAATTTACAACTTGTTTTAAAGTAAAATCAGGGGCTGCTAGACAGCCACTACGTAGGATCCACCGAGGTGGATCACAGTCGAAGCCCTGACAAATGCCTTTTCTGCCATATTCCAGCAGGGGTGGGTTGGGGGGTGGTCACAGGACTGGACAGCACCGGTTGGCATCTCCCCTCCCCTCAGGACCACTGACACCTTTCCTGTCCTGTCACCTGGGATCCCACAGTGCTGCGGCTCTCCCGCCTGTCTCCTGAGGTCAGGCTGACCGACAGCATGACTGGGGGGTTATGTAGTGTGCTCAGGGCTTCTCTATGCCCAGTTCCGGGGCTCACACAGTCGCTGCCATGTGTCATTGGGGCAGGAGGCTGTGCCGTATTCCGTCCTCTCTCCAGTGACTACACAAACACACTTTAATATCAAAGAAGTTTAATATGCTGCAATAAAATAAGCGCCTTGAAAAAGCTCACAGAATAGATGTCAACATTAGAGTAATCCCTCCCACACATCGTCCTCTAGCTCCACACCCCATCACCTCAAAACCAAACCATAAAATCTTAGCCACCACAGGAAATCCTTCCAAGCTTGGATTTCAGTGTGGGCCCCTTTATTAATAACAAGAACACAGTTATCTATGTGGTCCAACAGGAAAAGCAAAAACACAGAAGCACAAAAAGTCTACAAGATTTCAATATTTAAAAGACTTAGTACATACTCAAAGTTAAAATAACTCCAACTTTTATAGCTATACATACTGTTTTAAAGCAACTTAATATATTTTTAAATTTCATATATACACTCTCAAAGGTTCTTCAGGTGAGGTATGTAAACATTGTCTAATGAAAAATTTTCAATGTTTCAAACCAACAGATTCACAGCATACATTGAATTTTCATCCATTAAAGACACAGTATTTTCCTACACTCACTAACAGTGAAATCCAGCCCCAAGAGCACATGCTGCTCTGCCCGGTGGCTACAGGCAGACTCTTCTCACTTGACTAGTTTGGAAGGTGCCGGGGTCAGGGAGGGCTGCACCCTCCAGAGGCCCCGCTCTTGGGCAGCCGGAGCACTGGCTAAGACTCACAAGACAGCAGAAAGGAGCACATCCAAACACCTACAAGATTGACCTCGGCAACAACACCAGGAGGGACCAGGAAAAACTTGAGAACGGTGGAGACTCAGCTCCCTGAACCGAAGCCGGGTCTGTAGCCCCTGCCCTAAACTCATTCTGAAGGGTTGTGGCCTAATAGAAGCAAAATCCAATGCACACCTGAGCTTCAGTTAAATTGCATGGGCCTCCTAGGACCCCCAGGCCCCTCAAAGGCTTGACACTAGCCTAAATTGGGGCACTGGGCTGTGCTTTTCATACAGGGTGGGGTTGAACTTCTTCATGTCATAATGCATATGGGAAAATAATGCCATGAGATCACAAAGATGACCAGCGTCCGCAGGCACTGGCCCAGGACCTTGGAGGAGCTCAATTGTGAAAACCACTTGTTCCCTGAGGGTAAACAGCAGGCTTACATTGAGATTAAGCGAGGCTAAGGTGGGGATTTTCATTACAAAATATCAAAGACTTAGGAAACGTCTGGTCAGAATTTCTATTTCACCTCCATATCATCTACAGGACCCTCCCCCCACCCCTCACCAAAGTAGTCACCTCCCCAACAACACAATGCAGGGCAAGTTCTTTCCTCTGCACGCTTTTGGGCTCAGCAGTGGAAAGTTTACCTTAATGCACCCACTTCAATCTAAAAAACACTAGTGAAAAATCCCAAACACCGTCAGAAATATATATATATATATATTAAAAAAAGAGAGACATATTCCAAAAGCCTAAAAAACTACGTCACTTCTAACAATGGTTATCTGGGTGTGGGTATTCCTTTTCATTAAGTTTAGGACGGTCACAAGAAAAGGCTGCTCAACAGAGTTGGACACACTAAGAGCCTAAGCAGACTCTCGGGACCATGGACATCTTGAGCTGAGGCATAGAGGCAGAAGGCAGGACATAGGCTGGCTTCTAAAGGTGAGTCAGACAGAGCAGGGGGAAATATAATAGGCCACATATGTTTCTCAGGTAAAAATTCCTTACATTTATTCTATGGCCAAATGAGCTTTGTCTCATCTGTTCTGGAAACTACAAGTTCCTGGGAAATCGCTAACCTTTCTTTCAATGGGCGTGTCCACTTTTGATGTGTCTGGTGCTAGGCGAGTTCCCACACACTGCTGCAGTTCTGAGACATGGGAGCGTGCAGAAGAAATAGAAGAAACAATTCAAGTAAAGCAGCCTCTTAGGAAAGGCAAGAGGCTTCGCAAGAGCTGTTCCCCAACCCGATCCTCTGAGACAACAGGACTGGTCAGCACCTGGGGTCGTATTGCTATGGAAACACATCAGAAAGAACACCTGGAAGTCTGCTCTGCAGACCCGGGCACTGACCAATTTACTGTACACCTGTATATATATAATATATATATATATATAACACAACCAGATGAGAAGAGGGGGCGGTTAAAGCTTGGATTGGATGGTCCATTACAGATCAAATGCCCCAAACAGCTCTCAACCTGCTGGTTTTGTTTCTTTCTCCATGAGTGAACTGTAGTATGAAAGAAGTCCACCACTCAAAATATATTCTTCTACAATACAATGCAAACCAACATCACTCAGAACATGAGTCTGCATACAGCACATGTAATAAATATTTTTAGAAAACTATTTACAGCATTACATCTTGTGAATATTTAGATGACAACAGAATCTACTTTCTGCAAAGGATAAAAAAAGTTTTGACTGTCTAGTTCAGTGCTAAATTCCCTGGCACCTAGTTATCCATTCACATTTCATCTCAAAATCAGATTTGCTTACAAACAGCATCTTAGAAAAACATTCTCCAGCATTGCTGTTCAAGTGCCTTCCTTGTTTAGAAAAGACAAAGGGAGGCCATAGGAAATATGCAAACTACAGTTCAAATGGCTGACAGTAATCCCTTCATACCTGGTCTCCAAGCACCCTAGAGTCCTGGAGCTGCAGGTCAACCCAGCCATCCTGGCAGAGTAGCATGGTGACAGATGGGGTGCCCATGGATGAGGTACAGGGAAAAGGGCCATGCATAACCATGAAGCATTGGTTTCATGACATCTAGGGTACTCTGAATTGCAGACCAGGACTCCTGAGAAGTAAAGTTGAATACATTTTAGAACCATGGGTTATAGATGGGTGGGATGGGACCACATCTGCACAGATGCTTGATGGGAAAGGATGAGGAGGAAAGCCAAGGTGTTCCCAAGTTTTTTCAATGTGCAGAAGGTGACGTGTGTCTCCTATCGATGTGTGAAAGGATGACTCTCATGAATTCTGAAAGCCAGATTAGAAGCTCACATTGGCAACCACAGTGGTTTCTCCTCATTGCATAGGCATGAGTCTGCTTGTCCTGGGACTACAACCAAGGTCAATTCCTGCACAGGCCATGGAAGTGAACAGCTGAACGTATGTACCAATGGTGCATGTGTGAGTTGAGCTGCTATGGGAAGCCCTGATGCTGGGCTGAGCGAAGTTATACCCCTTCAAGCCCCACTTTGGTCTGGGATGGAGCATCAGAGGGAGCAGCATTAAGGTTCCCGATCTATGCTGTGTTTACCCAAATACAGTAAGGGCTTCCCGGTTACAGCCTCCTGCCTTTACTGTAATGTTTAGGGGTTGAGAGCTGAGCATGGGAGCTGGGAGAACAGATGGCAAGAAGTTTTTGGAGAGCCCTTTTGACAGTTAACTAATTTTGTTAAAATAAATACTTTGTATAGAAGCATTTGAACAGGAAAATATCACTATTTACACAGTAAAATAAACTCCACAGTGGTGTGTATAAATATGCACTCTATGTATTTGAAACCAGTCACTGACACAGCCTCCTAGAACCTACTAAGAACGCAGAAGCCACTAGTGAAATTAATTACCCTACGACACAGCGGCTCTAGCAATAATCCCTACCTGGGGTATAAATATACAAAATTATGCAAATCTTATTCGTATAGTGTCTTTATCACAAATGCTTCCGAACACTACATACAGCTCTAACTACAACACAACACGAGATGTACACCATGGTACCAACTGGAGTGGGGGAAAGGTGATCACTGAATGGCATTTAGACCCAGTCCACTAAACACTGTGAGAATCTAGCAACGAAGAGAAATTTTTCTCATGTGACATGTATGCATTCAGAGAAGCACTTTAGGGGAGGGAGTGTCCCAGAGAAGATGCCACCCAGAAGGGGGCCAGTGGCATAGGCAGAAGGGGAGAGAAAAGGCAAGGTACCAAGAATGACTCCCCAAAGGAGGAGCTGCTTCAGGCCTGACCAAGAGGGCCCTGGACTTGTTCTGCCTAAAGCTGCTGGTGCACAGATAAGGTGCCTTTGGCACACTGGCCATGCCAACAAAAATGCATGGCCTGGACTCAGTTTTCAAACACACAAAGATCAGCCACTTATATTCACAGATATTGACCAAACTTGAGAATTGTAAATCTGCACATATCCTAGGTACAGAAGAGAAATGGAGGGCTATGGGTACGAAACTACCAGTTCCTATGCTTTCAGAGAGGCACTACTTCAGACTCTATGTTCACAGGAAATCAGCATGCGTCACTGCTGGTGGAATGTCTCTATCAGTCAAGTTCACTGTGATGCATAACAATCATGATTGCATTTTTCAAGACTGTACTTTAAACTAGACCCTAGTAGATATGCTATATCCGCAATTCATCAGCAAGTATCCAATGAGCAAAGACAATCTCTTTCTTCCTTAGAAGCACTATCAAGAATGTTGCACAAAGACAACTGTGTGCTGAGACAGACAAGCAAGATACCCCAAACCCAAAAGGACTGTTGCAGTGCTGGCCTATATGCACAAAGAAACCATGTGCCTAACTGCTCACACAATTTGATAGTGACTTTTGCAAAGATCAGAACACTGACCTACCTAAAAGGTCAGGCAGTAAGCATTTTAGGTAGTATGGACCACATATAGTTTGCTAATTGTTTTATTATTTCTGCTTGTCCAATTCAAAAAGTGTAAATCCATTCATCCAACCTCTGGTGTATTCTAATACCATGGGCACCCAGATGCTCTTCAGGCAGGCAGTCTAGACTTTCAAGTGGTTTACAAACTGCACCCGTCAGACAGGATGGGCCCACAGGGTGTGAAAGCTTGTGTCTCCTTCCTTGGCACACATGCCTGGGCAGCTGCCTGTCTGCCAGAGGAAGGGCTGGGTCCAGAGCACTGAAAGACACCATCCTAGAGCCTGAGAAAGGACAATCCCATGAGGAGGCAATGGCTCAAACCCAAAAACAAAAGCATGAATAAGGGCAGCTTCTGCACACTGCTCATACTTGTGTGTAGAATAATGGGGTACTGCAAAATGGCTGGCCTTACCATCCATCCCTTATAGGTGATAGGACTCTTCAGAATTTTCAAGAGTTGAATTATTCTGAAAGCTGTCTCAAAAGGCAAGTTTCCAAGTTCTGCTGGTTTTTAAGTTTCTAAAAGTATCTTTTCATTGCAAAGGATTTGGGAGCAAGCACAGGGAAAAGTACCTGCTGCGTGGATATCAGGACTGATTTACATATACAGATGTGACTTTATATCTCAAGCATTCTAGCATTTCAGTGGCTAATAAGTCATAAGAAAATATAAAAAAATTCAAAATAATTGGGCAAGGCATAGAGCTCAGTGGTAGAATGTCTGCCTAGCTTACATCAGGCCCGGAGTCCAAATTTCAGTGCTGTCCACTAATTAGGAGACAAGGTCCCATCTTTTAAATTTGGCGTGATATTTAACTTAATTCTGGAATGCAGAATAGAAACTTTTATTTGAGTTTTGGGGGAGGGGAGGGGAGGGCAGGACTAACACTCTGGAAGCTGACTGGATTTGATATAAAGATACAATCAGTAACTCCTTAGTCATACTCAGGTTAAACGTTCTCTAATTTTTTTTTTTTTGTCCTTCTTTTCTATAGCAGTTCAAAAACCACCATTCTATTGTTAGCTTGTCTTTAGTAAATTTATTTTGAAAGTGTGTGACTGAAAACAGATCAATGGTAATCCATTATAAAGAGTGCTTTGGTTGTCTTTCCCACAACTACATGTGGCGCTGAGAACTCTTAAGTCCAAGAGAAGCACAGTTAATCCCATCACAGTCAGTCTTGGCTTATTTTAGTAAACAAGTGAAGCTACGGGCAGTTCTATGATTAGAAACTATGGGAGCGAACCATGGGACAGTCCACATGACTTCCGAACTCCAAAGGCAGCTTGTTCAGGTATTCTGGTCTACAGGCTGTGGTGGCTTCACTGAGGGGCGGGGGAGGGACTTAAAACACTGCTTATTTAGAGTTGAGTTACTTTGAAACTGTCTCAATGACATGCCTCTCTTACTGCAAGAGAACACAGAAATGCGCTTAAAAGATGGAGCTGAGATGGGGGGCAGCGTGGGAGACAGAGGGTGTGAGGCAGAAGAAGAGAAATGGGGAATATTTATTCCCAAAAGAGATTATTTTCTAAAGCAGAGGTCAGCAGGCTTCTTCAAAGATATAAATATTAACTGTTTTAGGCTTTGTGGACTTCATGGCCACTGTTCCATGGACAATCAATAAGCAAATGGGCATAGTTATATGACAATAAAACTTTATTTATACACATGAGCAGCCGGCCCACATTTTGCATGTCTGGAACAGCTCACAGGTGAGTAAGAGGAGGTCTGCACTGGTGAAACTGGAGGGATGGAGGTGGCTCTCCAGCTACGGACAGCTTCTTGGGTTATTCAGTTCGTTTCTGGTATTCTGACAAGCACAGACTTCGGATGGCAACACCACAAAATCTCCAGTTTGCATGGTGTCATTTCCTATGGGACTCTCAGGCCTGCTAATCAATAGAAATGTTGTCCATAAACGAGTGACAGCTGTGCCCTCACTACAGAAGCCACTACAAGGCTGGAAACAGGCCAAATCCTGATATACAGCATCTGTCTTAAAGTGATGCTTGCTGATGACTTATGTGCACAGTGAGAAATTCACCTGTGGCTGAGTGATGCTCAGAGGGTCGTGGGGGAAGCAGATGACTCTTCTCTCTAAACCATTACAGAATGATGAGGCACACACCCCATAGCTTGACTGTGGTTTAAATAAGACAGTGTAAAATTTTCAATAAAGAAACCCACCACTACCAAACAACAACAAAAATAAAAACAGCAAAACCCAGTGACTCCCAGGAACTAGCAACTATGGATCAATAGACTCAGGTAACATTCCTATGCTGGAAGCTCCCAGAACAGAGAAAGTGCCTGGGTGAGCGAGACTCTGAACCCCAGCAAGACAGCAGGCCCATACCAGGGAGTCTGCGCTCTAGGCAAGCTACACAGAGCTTCTCGGATAGCTCCTGGGGCATCTTCTAGATCCTGAGCAGAGGGAACACGGTCCTGCGGCATCGACTTCAGCTCCAGCCTTAGGACAGCCACCTCACCGAGCACAGGGCCAGGAGCAGGATGCCTTTCAGACTCGGGATCAAAGTGCGGGGCAGAGTGCAGTGTATATGCTGGCAAGTTGTATTTGAAAATGGCTACAGAAGGAAGGGAAACAAAGGGAATGGAGTCAAGGCCAAGCCAGGATGGAGATGCTGAAGGGATGATTTCCCAGCATCTGCTATGGGTGCAGAAAAGTCTAGAACTACTGTCAAATTTTGATTCTTTTCCCTTCTTCTATTAACAAAATTAACTAGATCATCAAAAGTGAGTTCAATAAATGTGAAAAAATTAAAAAAACTTAAGTGTCCAAATTTTGTAGAATGTTCATTTACATAAATGTCACTACTATCAAGTGCAAGCTGTTAAGGATGTCTACTGCACTGTTGTGTTGGGTATGTAACAAACACTCCCACACAGCTCCCTCAACTGCAGGCTACTATCTTGAAGACGCTTTTAAAATTGAAAACACAATCAGAAAAGTAATGGAATGAAGTATGAACCTGGAACAGGAAGCATCCCACCAACCTACCACTCCCTCCTCCCTCTAACCTAACCCAAGCACCTCACAAGGGAGTCACCAGGCAGCCAAGGGCGCCTCCTATGTACAGGCATTGACACACCTCACATTGGCTGTTTAAGTCACTACAACAACAATATCCAGTGAGAACTATAGGAAAAGCTCTTTTAAGCCTTAAAACCATTTTTTAAATATTAAAATGAACCTACTTAAAACATATTAATGCTTCTGTGCAACTTAATGCTGAGAAAGAGTTTCGAGCACACACTCAGCAGTCTCATTACGATAGGTAGCTTGTGAATGGTCAAGGTCAAAGATAATAAAAAGAATAATGGGGAGTGGGGAAAGTTAGGGGTGGGGGAGGAGGCAGTGAAGGGGAAAGCCCATGAATGCTCACGGGACAGAGGGGACATTTAAAAACAAGGAAACGACAACTTTCATTATCCGTGAAATTCAACACAATTCTCAATTTCTCATGAATCAAATGCTCCAGTCCTACCCAATTATCACAAGTTTCCATTATCTGCAGCAAACCTTTAACAATAGCAAAATAGGTAGAAGGCCTGTTTTATCATGATTTGCATATAAAAGAAGTCCATCTGGGTTGATCTAAAAAGATCTGAAACAACCTAAGTAGAATCTTTTAATAAGCACAGGGCAGCAGCTGTCCACGCAAGCCTATTTTGGTGACAGGACACGTCAAAGCTGACGGAGGCTTTAGCAACCAAGTGGTTTGCTGACTGGCCCAATGGAAATGTCAAGTACACACAGTACAATGGAGCAATGTCCCAGGAATTGAGTGAAGCCAATGGGGCTGTGTTAGGCTCCACCCAGGAAAGGCAAGCATCACCACTTTCAATTATTGTAGTTCTCATTTCGGAGCCACGGGACAGTGAAGCAGTGTGGGAGGGGCAATACTGCAAGCATTTAGCCACGAGGCTGGAACTATCAATGGGTATAGACACCTACTCCAGACAGACGCCTACTCCAGACAGACGCCTACTCCAGGCACGAACAGTCACATCAGAGTCTCAGCTGAGCTTCACTCAGCTGGGGATGGGGGTGTGGCTCCACTGAGATTCTGGGCAGCTTCTTGTAGCTGCCTGGGTGTCCTAGTCTTTCAAGGCCACTGCTCTCCAAGTCTGATGTGAAAGTGGTATTAGGGATGTGCATGGAGACACTGGATTACTTGCAAACAATCTGGCCATTGCTAATTTCTCAGCTTACAGATACACTGCATGGGGAAGAAAGAATTTCCCTGTGAAACTAGTACCAGGAGACACTAACTAAATGCAGATACACCTAGATGCATATGCACAAGGCTAAGCTTTCCTACTGCCGGAAAGACATGTGGACTTTCACTGCATAGGGAAGTACTCTGCATAAGAATGGAAACAAAGAATCACTCATCCTAATGGTCAAATGATAGCTACAAGATGAAAACATACACAAAAAGCTGCAACAGAATAGAACACACACCTCACAGAGTAGTAATACCAAGCTCGCAAGGTCCCAAACTGGAGGATGACAAGTGTTAGTAGTAACATAGTTTGGGGGTGTGGGGGGGTGTTTCTAGCACATCTTTTGTCCCATGGGCACACAAATTAGAGAACATGATCTGAAATGATTTTAAAAAGAGATGAAGGGGTGATAAACAATATGAGTTTTAGAAGGAAACAGAAACATTAATCTTTTATAATAATTATAAATCCCCGCATTCTCCACATACCATAGAAATGATTTGGTTCAGCTTTCAAATATCACTCAAATAAAAACCAGACAAGACAGAAAGGGGAGTTGTGCTGCGGTCTGCAAGGTGCACCTGTCCAGGGGCGCACAGGCAGCTGCTGCCGGCTCCTCACTCGCTCACGCATGCGCAGCGGTGGCCTCCTCAGTGACAGAGCAAGTGCTTGTGCGTCAAGTATAAAATACAAGCCTTTAGTCACATACATCAGCTTCTCAGCTTTTGTCAAATTTTAAACAAAAATGATAAATAAGGCACTGTACTTCTTAAAACAAAAACTGCTTGTTTCCAAGTTTAAAACCCAAGGAACAACCAGAATATAATGTACAACTTCCCTTAGCCATGGAGAAGGACTCTCTTCAAGTTCCCGTCTCTAGCTGAGACGCATTTTCTGACATCTCAAACTGGTGTTCTCTGTAACTGCAACGTGAAAGGCTTAACAAGCTTATAAAAAGCAGATTTTGTTAATGCGAGATAAAGGTTTTTTGTAGAGGCCAGCCTCTCTCGGGGCCAACCAGCTCTCACTTGGAATCTAAGCGTCGACGTTTGCTCTGTGAAGAGTCCAGTTTGGCCTTGAGCTTTCTCTTTCTCTGGGCAGCCTGGCTCTCTGGGCTTTTTGTCAAGGGTCTGGCTCGGCCCCTACCACTGCTCAGCTTCCTGCTTCTCCCTCTGGCTTTGGGGGGCTTTGTAGAGGCATCTCCTGCCCCCTTTTGCTTGGCAGGCTTTGTCAGCGCTTCAGAGGCTGCAGCAGGATGGCTAGGCCTTTTGTCCGCATTCTCTTTTTCTTTCCTGGATGGTGGGCAGCTCTTCCCGGGAGCCTTTTTACAGATTCTCACTTTATTCTCTTTCAAGGTCATCTTCTTGGATAGTTGGCTGCCTCTGTCCTTTGCAGCTAGCTTCTTGGCAGAAAGGCCTCTGCTGGCTTTTGTTGCTGGCCCCTTGTCCCTATCATCCTGAGTTCCGCAGCCTTCTGCTCTTTTGCGCTTGTTCTGACCTTCTACTTTAAGCAAGGTTTCAGGCATCTGCTTCCCTCTTTTCCTCTTGCGTCCTTCAGCCCTCTTGGGGGTGACAGGAAAGCCATCTGCACCCACCCGGAGGGCCAGCTTGGGGGACATCAGCGGGTTGATGCACACGCTCTTCTGGCCCTGCTTCACTTCGGAAGGTCCGCCCAGTGAGCTGTCCAGGCGCTGGGCTCTGAGCTTCCCTCGAATATTGGAATACTTTCTAAGGATCCGGGTGCTGGCTGGAGTAGGCAGGTTGGCGGGAGGATGGCTATTTCTACCTTCCCTGGCTTCCTCTACAGTGTCTTCACCGTCAGGGCCGAGGCTGCTGTCACTGGCAGCCTCTGGCTCCACCTGGCCAGGATTCTCTCGCAGGTTAGCCCACAGCTTCTGTGTTTTCCAATTGTTCCTAGCAGGAATGGCTCCAGGAAATTTCTTTAAGTGTTTTTTCAAGCGTTCTGCCTGTAGTGAACTGGGGTATAGGGTGGCAGGAGGGTACTTCTGAAGAGGGTGTTTAACAAGGGGGATGTCTCCTGGAAGACGAGTATTTAGTTTCTTCACAATGACCAGAGACCGAGTTTCTGTTGTCTCTAAGAACCACTTACAGATGTTAGACAGTTTAAAGTTTGTCATAAACAGCATCTGAACAGGAGAAAACTTTTGCACCTCCAATGAACCCCTGCACTTCCGTGACCTCTTCTTGCTCTTCCAAATCTCCTTCAGCTTGTCGGACTTGCTCTTTGCTCTTGCTGTTGGCTGTGCTTCTTTCTCCAACTGGATCCAGCCCTTCTGAACTTTCAGGTACTGGGCGTTGAAGTTGGCGATCAGCTCCTGGTTCTCCTCCTCTGCACACCATCCCACAAACTTGGGCTGCTCTTCCACCACCGTGTCTGCATCGTCCTCATCCAAGGGCTCCACACTCTCAGAAGCTTCACTTTCCTTTGGTGCTGGGCTGACTGGTGTGACTTGCTTTTCAGAAGTCACTTTTGTAGTGTCCAAGGCATCCACACAATGAGCGTGTCTCAGGTTGTAAGTTGAAGAAGGCAATCTCTTAGGTCTTGGTACCAATTTTGATGGCCCAGCAGGATCACCACTCTGACTGGCTGATATCCCAGCTAAGCTAGATGAAGGAAGGCCAGCATCATCTTTAGAGTGGGTATCCTCAACGTCTACCTCACTCACAGAGGCTTCCACATCCTGTGTGGCAATGTGTCCCAGCTTCTCTTTTACCTGCTCCAGGTCCTTCTTACAAGGAATGCTTTCCGAGGGCACATGTGCATCTCTCTCATCTATTTTGGACCAGACATTAATTTCCAGGTTCTTCCCAGGCAGTGGCTGGCCAACTGTGGTGGGGTCACTGCTTGGGGAAGTCTCCCCTTCTTCTCTTTTAACTTCCTTTGCCATCATGCTTTTTAAAGTCTGCCTTGTGATGACTCCAACTCCTTCACCCTCCTGCGTGGTATCTTCATCAGAGGAACGTTCACCGACACTGGGGTTTTCAGTGTCCTCCAGATCATCTGTATGGATGCTGTCAATCACTGAGCCCTCGGGGGTTGCCCTACCAGAGCGCCCTTCTCTTTTAGAATGCTTTACGGCAGGATTTTTAGAAACCTTCATTTCAGAACAAGCAGTGGATGAATCTAAACCTTGGCTTCCTGGGCACCTGTCAGCAGAGGATGAATCTACAAGTTGACTTCTTAGGCATCTATCAGAGGCCTCAGGGAGCTTTTTACACTTTTTCTTCTTGTCCACATTCTCTTCGGGCGAGTCCAAGTTTTCACTCAGATCCTGTTCTGATAAGTGTTTTCTATCACAGTCATGTATCTCCAGCTGTCCAGTTCCACTGGCTGCCTCACCTCCCTCGGTCTCACCCGGGTTCTCATCACTGACAATGCTGCTTTCCAGGAGGGGCAGGGCGGCTTCTAGCAACAGCGTCTCCCCAGGGATAGCTCCAGTCTCAGCCTCAGTACTGATGCTTTGGTCATGCTCAGACAGTTCTAGACTCAGGGGAGGATCGAAACCCACAGCAGGACTTTCATTTTCTGAGCACAGAGAATGCTCTTCTCTGACGACTGTTTCAGGAGAAGACTGAGGTCTACACAGCTGGTCTTCACCATCTTCCCCAGAGATGAAGGGGGTGCTTCCGGTTGTGGGAGTCAGGTGACACTCCTGGAGTGTATGCATTTCCTCTGACTCCAGAGGAGAAGCTGGTGGCTGGTCTTGCTCAAGGAAAGATAGTGCACTTGCTGTTGGAGGTGAGACTGCAATGTTGCCTTCTGGAACATTAGGCATACCCTCATCAGGGAGGGGTGCAGGCAGAAGACATGCCGGACTACAGGCTGTGGTCTCTCCTGGAGTAGGGGAGCTGCTAGGATCCTGTTCATTCACAGTAAGGCAAACCTCTGGCTCCTGATACTCTTTTGCTGATGACATGTCTTTGCCTCCTTCCTCAAGGGAGTTTCTTTCCTTCCCAGGATCGTCAGTGGTATCTTCTTGCAGAAGTTTCATTCCTACTGTGGGAAGCTGTACATCTGCAGTTGGAAGCTGTACATCTGCAGTTGGATGCTGTACACCTACTGTTGGATGCTGCACACCTACTGTGGGAAGCTGTATATCTGCAGTTGGATGCTGCACACCTACTGTGGGAAGCTGCAGATCTACTGTTGGATGCTGCACACCTACTATGTGCTTTGAGGTGGGAAGTGTAAGAGTCTGCTTGGGAGTCACCACTACCTCTGGTGCTATCGGTGAGCAGCTTCCCTTTTCTTGGGAGCGTAAATTTCTGGCCAGTGTGCGAACAGTTGGCAATTCACAACAATCACCATTAAAAAAGTATCCCCGGGTACTCTTTCGGGCTGTTTTCCGAGAAGACAATATGGATCTTTGATTTTCAAAGTGGCATTCTGTTATTGGTTGACTGATATAAACAACATCACACTGGTTGTCATAATCATTTATCCTCAAGCCTGATGCCCTCTTACTCTTCCGAGCAGTCTTGATGGAGGCTGTTATCATCTTGGTTCGAGAGTGACCATTGGGTGCTCTGTGTACAGCTGGTGTGGGGCTGGGAGCTAACCAATCACCTTTGGAATGATCAAAATGGCCCTGGTCGCTGGGGTATGTCTGGTAACCCACCTTGTTTCTACCTAGTGAATGAAGATGGTTCTCTTGCTTTGGCCTCGCATCTTGTTCATCTGCCTCTAAATCCTGGTGTAAGGATGTTTTTGAGCCACACTGTAAAGTATTCTCTTTGTCTGCAGTACTAGATGAGTTTCCCATAAACCCTGAGTCCCATTTCTCTTCTGATAAAGCTTTGAATGAGTTTCTTTGAGAAACAATACAGCTACCACCTTCTTCAGTATTCTCAGCTGCCACGTCCACTGCAGTCAGACTTTCGACTGAGGCTGGGGCATGGTCTTCACCATCCTCACAGGGTTTCATGCTGATGTCTTGTTCCTGTCCAGTGGTTTGCCCCTCTAAGCTTTTGGAACTGTGGAGGGAGTTAAAAGAGGAAGAATCCAATGTAGTGAGGCATTCCACAGTGGGACTGTCTGCTGATTTTCTGGAGTTAGGTTGAATGTCTGGAAGTTCAGAGGAATCTTTCTGGACAATGGTCAAGGCATTCTCTCTTCCATCTACAGAGTCTGTCTCAGGAGGTGGTTCCTTCATGGTTTGTTCAGTCACACTCAGAGAGCTAGGAGAACCCGAGGAGTCTAAGAACAAATTTACAGAAGCAGGAGACTTCCCATCGAGACACACATCATCCGTTTCATCTTGTCTGCAGCTCAGCTGGGCACAATCTGCACTGCAAGTGGAGACATCCATCACTGTGGAATCTAAAGGCTGCAGGTCCTCAGTACCTGGCTGAGATTCGGTGTATAGGTCACTCAGGACACGAATGAATTGCTTCTGATGATGCGTGCACAGTTTGACCATAAACTTCTCCAGTGGGGGCTTCGATGGATGGTTAGAATCAACTGCTGATGCCTCTGTTGAATTCTTACTAGACAAACAGAGCAAAAGAAGAAATTAGCATGTGCACTTCCAATGAAAGGTTTCTATAACATGAACTGTATCAGATGCTATTTACATTTTAAAGAGAAAGGGCATTCTAGCCAAAACTGTCACTGACTTCCAAGTCCATCATTTACTTTAGTTCAATAAGGAAAATATAACTAGAATATAAAGCCAGCCCATCTTAGTCTCAAAAACATTTTGTTTTTTATGGTACCAGGAAATGAAAGAGGGCCTGGCACAAACTAGGAAAGTACACTACCACTGAGCTACATTCCAATCCCCTACTTCATACTTTTACACTTCAATAATTCAGAAATAACTGTCTTAGAGGAAATATTGAAAATAAAGTTTGCCGACATTATTAACTCCACATGGTCAACATAGAGCAACCCTTATCCAAAAGTCTGTAATGCTCCAAAATGTAAACGTTTGCAAGTGCTAACATGGAGGTACAAGTGGAAGACCACACACCATGCAACTGTTAGATGCAAGACTACTGAAAATACTGTGTAAGATTCCTTTTAGGCTGTTTGCATACAGTGGGTCTCAACCATAAATGAATTCTAACATTCAGCTGGGCCTCTCCTGAGAAAGCTCAGTAAATATATGCAAACATTTCAAAATCTGAAGAAAGTCAAAATTCCAAACATGTCCGGACCCAAGCATTTTGGATAAGGGATACTCAACCTGAACTTCTGTTGTAGGCCTAGGCAACCGTGTTAAAACCACCACTAGTCTAAGTCTATTAACACTGATAAAAATTCAGACATACTGCATTACAGACATCATCTTAGAAGTATTTAGAGAACTCAATGGCTATAAGACAATTTCTCAGAAAGAGCAATTGGCTGGAGAACCACTAATAGTGTTCTAGAACAGGAAACAAACAGCAATAAGAATGTTCACATTTTAGGTATATTAGACAGGGGAATGACAAGCAGGTTCTGATTTATAGCCTAAGTGAGGAGGTAGATGGGAAGTAGAAACATGAATGGCAAACTATCAGCTTCGACTGGTGCAAGGCAGAAGTATTAGTATCACACTAGCCTTCCACTGAATTCCCTAGAACATCAGCAGTAAACAGCTACACAGCTGCTCTGCAAGAAAGCTGTCTCCATACTGTGAAGCATGTGTCTGCTCTCTGGGACAAGCTCTCAGAGTTTAAGCCACAAGGTCAAGGTGGTGGAAGAGGCCAATACTAGACTCAAGACAGGTCACAGGGATGGCCTGTAGGATGGCCAACAGCTTTTACAGTTGCTTTGTGCTTCTGGACGCACAGCTTTTACGGAGCTCACCTAGATGGGGCCCGGTTTGCTACAACTTCTCCCCCACACACTCTGGTTTGTAGACCTGTAGGAGACTATTATTTGACGGTGTATGAAGCACAACAGAACATGGAGGGTAACTTCACACATGTGTGTGAACAGATGTTGATGCTGTCTTTTGACTTTTACCTCCCGGGCAGGAGGTGCCTTTATAGGAAGGCTTACTGCAGACAGTCTGCATCACCTGTCTTCCCACCTCCCACTGGGAGTGGAGTTGTAGGAAAAGGACACAGGAGCTCAAAAATGAGATGCCCGATTCTACTCCTATCCTGACATTTACAGGATTCCAGGGAAGTGACCTCATCTCATTGAACCTTAGCTTCCTCATCTGTGTCCTGGGACTGAAAAGCAGAATACTGAGAGACCACACAAAAGTGGGGCTTAAGTACCTTTGCTTTCTGTTTCTAACTTGAGACACGGTCTCTCTCTCTAGTTCTGGCTAGCCTGGAACCTGCACCAGTCCTCTCTGATCCTCCTGCCTCTGCCTTTTATGTGTTTGGCTTATGGATGTGGTAGCACACTCCAGCAAAAGCAATCAAGGTTTTGTTTGTTTGTTTCCCAGGGGGACCTCAAACGTTCTGTGCAGCTGAGACTAACCACGAGCTACTCCTGCTTCTCTGGCCTCCACTGTCTAAGTGTTGGGGTGACAGTAATATGCTATCATGGCCAGCTAAATTTTTAATTACATTTATATTGTGTATGTGTGTATACTCTCTCATGTGCACATGTGCCACAACATACATGTAGAAGTCACAAGGCAAATTCTGTGAGTTTGTTTTGCCCTTCCAAACAGATGGGTCCCAGGAACTAAACTCAGGTCATCAGGTTTGGTGGCAAATACTTTTATACACTGAGCCATTTTGCTAGCTCCCCCACTCCACTTTTTGTTTATTATTTTTGTGTAAGTCTTTACAGTGTCACCTTGTCTCTTAACACATCTTCTCCCCATCCGCCTTTGTTTCTCTGAGAATCAGTAATTCATACCATCAGGACAAAGGCAGAGAATCGAGAAGACAGTACCAAGTGATATGTTCTAAGCACAGTGCTTTAAGGTTCGGAACTGAATGTTTTGCTGGCAATTTGGATGCATAGGCAGGAGCCTATAAGTGGCGTCCTTGGAGCCACGAGCCTGCACATTAACACCAACCTTTGTCCAGCTATCATTAAACAGCTAACTTTACAACTATGGCCATAAAACCACTTTTGCCCGTGCCTCCAAATTACTACGTACTTTCCCCCTCTAAAGAGGAACTAAATTTAGATGATTTTTAATTTCTTACCATTTGGCTATTTAATTTTTAGAGTTAATCTTAACTTCCTGATAATTCTATTGCTGCATTTTTCATGTTTGGCTTTTAAAAAATGGTGTCCATCTGTTTTAAATGGCTGTTTGCCAGTTTTAAATGGCTAAGTTCTACCCGTGCTTGACATTATTCAAGTATCCCTATATCTTTAATGGAGCTCAAATACAGCATTCACACTAACTCTCCTAGGCAACTAGCAGTGAACCCAGAGTAGAGAGATACTGTCATGCAGACAATTTCCTCACTCTAACTCTGGAAAAACATGGTATTTTGGTTCAGTGATTAGTCCATATCATATTACATTCTTGACACCTGACTAAATATGATCTTTACAGGAAAATATATTACAGACGTTGCAATCATTTGCCTGACTTCATGTAATGTTAAAATCACATGTAACTTCTGCTCAACAGGAGTCCTTCCTGTAATAGTTAAGTGAATTATTTATCAAGCAGAAATACTTGACTACTACCACCAAAGCACAATGAGGTCACAGGGATTAGTAAACTGGAGAGAGGTTGTAAAGACAAGGGAATCTGACTTGCAACTCTCAGAATTCGTCCTTGGTTTATCTCCTTGGTGAGAAATGGCCTGTATGGCCTTGATCACAGTCTTTCTACCTTGAGCTCAATGCCTAATTCAGAAGGGTGTGGTAAAAGGATAAGATAATACTCATAAAAACTAAGAGGCACAATTTAAAAGCAACGTGTTGCTTCACAACCCTATCTTCAATGATTTACTCAATGATGTTTTTCTAGATCAGAGGTTGGGCACAGCTGAACTCTCCTATTTAGTCAATATTGCAATACTTACATTCCTGCGGTTAATATAAATGGTGGGCAGTCGATGCTTATGTTATTTTCCAGGAAAGGACAGATGAAAAGGTGGCAGGGAGCAGAATGTCAAATGTAAAGATCTAGAACCTAGAGTAACAGGTTCAGGTACTCTCCCCAGCAGCCAGCTTGTAACCAACCACCCAAGGACTCCCGGGTAGGGAAAGCACTATCACTGATGACCAAAATATATTTTCTTGACTGAAAGAGACCAACACTTAAGCACATAGGAGCTAATGTTAGGTGCAGAAAGGGCTGGTCTGAGAACGTGGAGGGGAAAGAAGGCTTTAAACAGAGTAGACTGGCTAGAGTACTCAATTTGGCTTATGTATCAAGTCCCCTATCAAGGTGTCCAAGTTGTACTTTTGCTAGGTAGTAACCGGAAAGGATGTTTCCCATGTCCTCACTCCTAAGTCTTTTCCAGGGTGTGGCAAGTCTGCTGACAGGTTCGGGGGTGAGGGGTGGGTGGGGTTGGTGAGCAATAAGAGAGGGGAATAGGAGGGTCTAATAGGGGAAGTGGGAAAAGGGAGCTCTTAAGGGAGGGAGGTTATAGAAGGAGGAGGGTAAAATAATAAGGATGCCAGAAAAAGCTGCAAGGAATTTAACTATTTACCTTTAAAAAACTATAATACATATAATTTTGTATAATTTTTATACATACATGGTTTTAATGACCTTTTCTCATCTGGGTTGACAGTGCTTCCTCCAAGAGCCAAAGACCACCTAATGAAAACCCCCACACCAAACATGAGAAGCCCTCTTCTGAGCTATTGGCCAGGCCATCCGGGGGACTCCCCAACATACAGCCTATCACTGTTGCTGCTGCTTGCTCCCCCGGGAAAGTCCTTATTGCTGAAGACACCATGTACTTCAGCAACAGAGCCCAGAAACCCTTGAGCTATGACTGACCCGAATACTTTGATGGCAGCAGAAGGAAAGCATATTTGCCCTTGACTATCTCCTATCTAAACAAAGGGACGACCCAAAGGCTATGACACAACTATGTATAGTCAAAATGGCCACGAGTATGCAAATATTTCTTTATTCAAACAAACTGTGTATAGCTGTGCCTCCAAGTCATTAGCAGTCAAGTTTCCATCCACAGAAGTGGCGGAAGTAAAAACAACGGCACTGGGGAGGTGGCTCAGTCAGGAAAGTGCTTGCCATGCAAGTGTGAGGGCCTGAGTTTGCTCCCAGCTCCCACATGAAGGATGGGCCATGGAAGTAGGCACCTAGTGCCAAGGTCTTGTAATCTCAGCCTGGGGAGGTGAGGACAGGAGGATCTGTGGGGCCAACTGACCAGACAGTCCAGTCTTGTCGTTCTCAACCTGTGGGTCGTGACCCCTTTGGGGTCGCATACCAGGTTATTTCTGACACTCAACAGTAACAAAATTATAGTAATGAAGTAGCAATGAAATGTTATGGTTGGGGGCCACCACAGCATGAGAAACTATACTAAAGGGTTACAGTACGAGAAAGGTGGGGAACCACTGCTCTAGTTTGAACTGGTGAGCTCTAGGTTTA